ATTCACAATAATCGTTATTTATAAAAAGAAACATATATAACTATGTATACACTGACATTTCATTTACATTCAATAGTCTATTTCCATATTGTCCATCACGAATCACATACTGTCCGAATAAGTTGCATCTTCAAACCCCTACTAACCTAATTTAGTTTAAGCAAACAAGTTAGAATCGCTAACCCTCATACAACTAATGTGACTCATGGCCGAATGCGAAAACGTACTTTTTAAATGAATTATCCGTAAATTACCTCCGCCTGGAGTCCCTCCGGGGCTACTACCGGTCCCAAGCCCGGATAAAGGAGGAGGGTTGGGCATGAGGTTAGCGTCTCCATCGCGTAGAAAACTAACTCGCTAAAAGAACGCTAACCAGAAAAAATTATTCAGACCTTTTAAACTCTGCCCTGGGAGTCAGAAGGTCTTCATTTAGAAGAACTATGACGCCTCATGATGAAAGCCGAATTCCTTCGGAAGTTACGAGGCCGATGCCCCTTCTGACAACCAGAGCAACCATTTATTTAGGTACATGGAGTGTTCGTACAATGGGGGAGACCGGGAGAGTCTTCTGAATTGCTGAAGAAATGAGGAGACACAACATGGAGGCGCTTGGAACCAGTGAAACACATTAGACGCAAGTTGGACAACAACGACTAACTTCAGGGGAGCTTCTGTTATACTCCGGCCATGAAGAAGAAAATGCCTCACATACAAAAGGAGTTGCATTGGTGCTGTCCAAACGAGCACAAAATGCACTCATAGGATGGGAATCTCATGAACCAAGGATTATCAAAGCCTCCTTCAAAACAAAGAAAGAGGGCATTTCAATGAATATCATACAATGCTATGCGCATACCAACGACTACAATGAAGAAGCTATAGATCAATTCTACAATAGGCTGCAGTCAATCATCGAGAAGTGCCCATTAAAGGACCTGACCATTCTGATGGGAAATATCAATGCCAAGGTTGGAATGGCCATCACTGGATATGAAGACATCATAGGACGATAATGGACTGAGAAAACGGAACGAAAATGGTGAGAGATTTGCAAACCTATGTGCCTTCAATAAACTGGTCATAGGCGGCACCATATTCCCACATAAACGCATTCAAAAAATCACCTAGACTTCACCGGATCACACCACGCAAAACCAAGTCGACCATATTTACATCAACAAAAAGTTCAGGAAGGACGATGGAAGACGTGAGAACCAAGAGAGGAGCTGATATAGCCTCAGATCATCATTTGCTGGTCGCCAAGGTGAAATTGAAACTCAAGAAGCACTGCAAAACGGGGCGGACAATATCACAAAAGTTCAATACGGCCTTTCTTCAGGATACTAACAAACTCGACAAATTCAAGATAGTCCTCAGCAACAAGTTCCAGGCCTTTCATGATCTACTCAATGGGGAGGGAACTACTGTGGAGAGCAACTGGAAGGGGATCAAAGAAGCAATCACTTCAACATGTCATGAGGTCTTGGGTCACAAGAAGCACCATCACAAGGAATGAATCACTGTTGATACACTGGATAAGATTCAAGAAAGGAGGAACAAGAAAGCAGCAATCAATACCAGTCGAACAAGAGCAGAAAAAGTCAAGGCACAAGCTGAATACACAGAAGTTAACAAACAAGTGAAGAGGAGTATCAGAAGTGACAAACGTAAATATGTGGAAGATCTAGCAATGACGGAGGAAAAGGCTGCAACAGAAGGAAACATGAGACAATTGTATCACACAACAGACAAACTCGCTGGAAATGACAGTAAACCAGAATGCCCGGTGAAAAGCAAGGAAAGCGAGGTAATCACCAACATTGAAGAACAACGAAACAGGTGAATAGAACACTTCAATGTACTCTAGAATCGACCAGCCCCGCTAAACCCACCCAGCATCGAAGCAGCAACCACGGACCTCCCAATCAATGTTGGCCCACCAACAACTGGAGAGATCAGCATGGCTATCAGACAAATCAAGACTGGCAAAGCAGCAGGACTGGACAACATCCCAGCAGAGGCACTGAAAGCAGACGTAGTGGTAACTACAAGGATACTCCACATTCTCTTCAGTAAGATTTGGGATGAGGAACATGTACCAAAAGACTGGAAAGAAGGACTTCTGATCAAAATACCGAAGAAAGGCGATCTCAGCAAGTGTGATAGCTACAGGGGCATCACTCTTTTCTCAATACCGGGAAAAGTCTTCAACAGGGTATTGTTAAACAGGATGAAGGACTCCGTAGACGCCCAACTTCGTGACCAACAGGCAGGATTCCGTAAGGATAGATCGTGTACAGACCAAATCGCAACTCTACGGATCATTGTGGAACAATCAGTTGAATGGAATTCATCACTCTACATCAACTTCATTGACTACGAAAAGGCATTTGATAGCGTGGACAGAACAACACTATGGAAACTTCTTTGACACTACGGCGTGCCGCAGAAGATAGTCAATATCATACAGAACTCACATGATGGATTACACTGCAAAATTGTGCATGACGGACAGTTGACAAAGTCGTTCGAAGTGAAGACCGGTGTCAGGCAAGGTTGCTTACTCTCACCCTTTCTCTTTCTCCTGGTGATCGACTGGATCATGAAGACGTCAACGTCTGAAGGGAAGCGCGGGATACAATGGACATCTAAGATGCAGTTGGACGATCTAGACTTCGCAGACGATCTGGCCTTTCTATCCCAAACGCAACAACAGATGCAGGAGAAGACAAACAGTGTGGCAGCAGCCTCAGCAGCAATAGGTCTCAATATACACAAAGGGAAAAGCAGGATTCTCCGATACAACACAGAATGCACCAATCCAATCACAACGGACGGAGAAGATTTGGAAGATGTAAAAACCTTTACGTATTTGGGCAGCATCACTGACGAACGCAGTGGATCTGATGCAGATGTGAAGGCGCGAATCGGCAAAGCAAGAGCAGCATATTTACAACTGAAGAACATCTGGAACTCAAAACAACTGTCAACCAACAACAAGGTCAGGATTTTCAATACAAATGTCAAGACAGTTCTACTGTATGGGGCGGAAACCTGGAGAACTACGAAAGCCATCATTCACAAGATATAAGTGTTTAATAACAGTTGTCTACGCAAAATACTTCCGGTCTGTTGGCCAGACACTATCAGTAACAACCTACTGTGAGAGAGAACAAACTAAATCCCAGCGGAGGAAGAAACCAGGAAGAACCACTGCAAGTGGATAGGACACACTCTGAGGAAAGCACCCAACTGTATCACAGGGCAATCCCTCACATGGAATCCTCAATATCAAAGAAGAAGAGGAAGACCAAAGAACATATTACGTCGAGAAATGGAGTTAGACATGAGAAGAATGAACAACAATTGGATAGAACTGGAAAGGAAGGCCCAGGACAGAGTGAGTTGGAGAATCTTGATCGGCTGCCTATGCTCCATTGGGAGTAACAGGCGTAAGTAATTAAGTAAGTATCCGTAAATTACTCGTGGAAGGGGTTTGTTTACGAAATTGACAGGACGGAAAGCGAATATCCTGCGCTTAAACTATGTTGGTGAGTACGAGGAATCCATCTAGGAGAGTTGTAAAACCCTGACTCTAAACCAATGGTGAACATAAACTCCAGAGGGAACAAATAGCGAATGAGCCTATTCTTGATCACTGACCCCTTAAGCAAATCTCGTGCTTCGGTTTGGGCACCCGGATAGTATTCCAACCCACACACTGATTCAATGATTTGTGTGACGCATATATGCTTTGGTGTTTATTTGTGCCTATACTTGTGTTTAAATAAAATAGGTAAGGAGTACTGTGTCAATGTCACTGGAACGAAACGGAGTAGATTTTGGAAACTCTTTCGTGGCAGGACTTCAGAAGAAATATATGAATCATGGTAAAAACCTCAAAATCTACATAAGACAACTATGTTTTTATTAATGCAACACATGCTTAATTGATACTTGAACAGACTTAATGAAGTAAAATCTGGACAAATCATTTTATGAAAATCTCAATTACCTGACTGTATTTTTAATCCGGTAACAAAAGTGACATCCTATTTTTATAGGATAAATAATTGGTACAAGAACACTTCCATTAGCATAGCAAAGTGAAATAATAGAAATTTGGAAACAATCAAGTAAAAACTACCGGTCTAAGTAATTCGCAAACAATATAGAACCTGGCATGAATAAATATCCACCTAAGTAGTCATATTTCACAATAAACCACTAAAAAACGAATCAAAGAGACAATGAATTTAGTAAAAACGATTGTGCTGACAGGAATGGGGAACTAAGGCAGAAAATTTTTTAAAAAAAACACAAATGGAAACAGAGGGTGGTCCATAATCCCAGATTGATTATTGGCAAATGAAAATGAAAACTACCTTCAGGTTTACAGATACCATTAATTAGTTATGACAATATACGTAATCGAACTTCCCCTTCATTAGCCATAGAATAATCCTTTATTTCATAAAGTCCCAGAAGGATATTTACAACTCGATATAAGAATGGATTTAAAGATATGCCAGACTAAGACCCATTTTACACCAAAGCTAGGTACGTAGTTAAACAGATTATCTCGATACACTTTATTTATATTCATTTCGTTCACTGTCTAAACTTCTCTTGACTTGAGTAGGCTATAATCTGGTCAACTTATAACAGTGGAAAACTAATCTACTAATTGTAAGCACGAAATTGTCACAATCAACAAAAATAAATGGTCTACTGAACCATAAGTTTAGTTCCATTCCTGACGGAATCTAACGAATGGAGTAATACAATGTTAGGAAATTATATGAATCCAGCTGTGTCACTAAGTTTAGCTTCAAGCCACGTTGTCAACTACTAAGTATGATCGTTTTGTATACTCCAACTACGAAGTTTATATCTTTTTATGTGGCTTAAACACAAAAACAGTCACTCCATAGATTGATTCCACTATGATCTTTTTATAATAAAAGTTCCCTCAAACTCGATTTGCACAAGCCAATATATTACTAATGCAAAATAATGCGTTTTAAGAAATACTTCATAATAACAAATATATTAGTGTATATAAATTAAGAAAAAACATTACAACCTGTGGACCAATACAAAGTTACAGGCTTAGATAAGCAAAATAAATTAGAAATATGATTAGGTAGGTCTTTAGTAAAAACATCAACACAATCCATATTTAAAACTGTTAAAGGTTCACACAAATAAGATAAGATACTATTGAGTTCTGTTATAGGACAAGTACATACATGAACGGATATCAAAGAAGTAACACTTAACCGCTTTTGAATTGTTTTGACGTTACCTAAAAAGTTGTTTTTTTCATCTATTAAGTCATTATTTGTCAGAAGTAACACAACAGCATTACCTGCGAATAAAATAAAAAATATTAGTTTCAAAACGAAAGTACAATTTTTAGGTTCAGACAGTAGCTTACAGTCTATTACGAGCACGATTGGCCCAGTTGGTTTTATGCAAAGATGAGCGACTGGAATAAGGACTGTATCTTGTCGTTTTCCAGTAAGGAAAAGTTTCCCTGGGCCTCCCAAAAACTTGCTAGTGTAACGCATGAAGTATTTGAATACATCTTCTTTAGGTAGAACACCAGCTAATGTTTCATCTTTAGACACCTCACTTTGGATTAATTCATAACCTTTGGCCATTGAACTGACTTGAGCAGCACGAGCAGTAGAGATGACTGTACTTAATGTCTTATATAGTGTTCCATTGTTATTCGTTTTTGACACCTCACTCGGAAAACATGATGATCCATTTACTTCAAAAAGTCTTGTGTACATTGTCGCAGCCAGTTGGCGACTAGAAGCATTTACAAAAACGTTGTCCACACCTGACAGTAATAACATCTGGAAAAGTTGCCATATGATATTTGAATCTGTTTGCCATATATTGATCGCACATTCATAGCTCGTCGGATTAACTCTATTACGTTTATGATTATTGAGATGATCGATAAAATATGTTAGTAAAGACACACTTTCTTTAACAGTACGGAAGCACAGAACAAATGCGACTGGACCGCTCCTTCTATTAACTTTGACAGATGATGGGGTAATGTCATAAACAATTATTGGAGAATGTGGTATTTTCTGATTATAACGAAGAATTTTTGCACCGACAGAGTCTGCATAAGATATTACTTCATTAATATAATCAGTACAGAATGGTGGATATTCTGACTTTTCGTAACTTTCCAATTCTTCTGCAGATGTGTTTAGATTAATAAGGCTTTCCATACGACCAATAAAACGTTTGTATATGGATTCCTCGACTAAGATGACGGGTGAATGGCCTATTCCAGTACCCAGAGCATTTTTTAATGATGATACACAGTACCTAGCAGCTGAGTCTATGTCGGATGATTGGTAAATCATTGCTATGCTTCGACCATTACAGTGACTTTCTGTGCTTTTGCAAAAGATAGGTAGAAAACTAAATAATTTGTTTGGAGGAACAGATTCATGAATAATACGAGTTAATATAGTCAATGGAACCATTAGCCGTAACGACTTGCACGTAACAACTAAACCATGAAATTTTCCGCGATATGCAGGACAGCATAAATAACGAAGAATGAATGTGAAATGAAAGATAAAATCACAATCGTCTTTTTCAATTACGTGTTCGGGATAATAAAAGTAGTCTTCATCCGTAGAAGGGAACTGAGTAAACTCTTGCATTTTCTTAATAACTTCTCGAATTACTTCACTAAAGAAGTCACTGGACTCGAATTCAAGTGAAGCAGAGATGGATTCAAGCAACAGAGTCATGTTAACTTGAAGAGAACTTACAAGCCTTTTCAGGAAACTTTCCAAAGACTTTGAATCACACTCAAAACTCTCTGCAAGCTTGATAGCTTCTGGGTTCATCGACTGGCAGCTGAATACAGAGAGATCCAGTGAACCAACTTGTATTTTGTCTATGCTCTCTTTCACTCCTGGCTCAATAAAAACCCCATCCACATATGGGAGAATGTTTTGACTTCTGTTTTTAAACGTATCGTCTGAAGACATCTTTGAACAGAATGAAGGTAATTTGGAGAAAGGAGTAAAACGTCTAGACATTACTTATTGTATCCTTCAATTCGATTAGATGGCCGAGATTGCCTTCAGAATTAAGATATTCGAGGAAGGGAACAAAAAAAGGCTGACAGATCAGTCAGAACGTTCGATGCACTTGTAATGTTTAGCCTTTGGTAGGTTTGCGCTAACCCTGAAGGTTGATTTTGTTCTGGGGAAGTGTAAGTAGCAGTATGTGATACAAACTGAAAGAAAAAAATAGCGAAATTTTAAAAAGTTTTATCGTCGTTTATTTCAAGACAGGAAGTTCCTACACGAACAGCATACAAACCAGAGTCAGTGAATGTGAGGAAGAACACAACGTGCGAGAAACAACGTATATATTTCTGAAATAACAAACGCTGTTATTTGACAAAAGGGAAAGCTTATTAACAAATTAGTCCCTTACATCATTTTGAATGTCTGGTTCAACAGGGCTTGTTCTCTTTTCTTCCAGCACATTTACATATTTACGACATTTCCGAATTCTACACCAAGGTTGATATTCAATAGCAATTATATATCTTCGCCACAAGTTAGTTTAAACTAGTTTGTTTTCGTTAGCTTCTTGAAGTTAAGGTTCAAACACAGGTCTTTTTATCATCCTACGTGAATAACCTAACAACACAGTTACAACTATCATCATCGGTCCTGCTATATGCTGACGATGTCAAGATATGGAGAACGATACGATATGAAGGTGATAGCTTAGAACTTCAAAATGACCTGAAGAAATTATCTGAATGGTCTCAAACCTGGCAGTTGCCGATAAATACTTCCAAGTGTGTTGTGATGCATATCGGTCATCAAGGTACACATACATACACGATGAATAACACTGAACTACCTGTCGTCCAGACATATAATGACTTAAGAGTCATCGTTAGCCAAGACTTAAAGACTACTGCACACTGCCGTGCAATAGCCGCCAAAGGTTTTAGAACGTTATGGTCAATACGTAGGGCTTTTAGTCATGTCGACGCTAAGACGTTTTTGACTTTATATACAGTGTTCGTACGTCCTAAACTTGAGTACTGCATACCAGCGTCCAGCCCCTGCTTAAGAAAAGACAGTAAGCTTCTGGAAAATGTTCAGAGGACTGCAACTAGGCCGATTCCCGGAATAGCGAAGCTTCTGTATGAAGTTCGACTGGCCAAGCTGAACCTTTTCCCGTTGTCATATCGCAGAACTAGAGGTGACTTGATTACAGTTTTCAAATTGCTTATTGCCGAATTCGCACCTGATATGCCCTCATTTTTCTTGTCTTCCAAAACAGAGAATTTACTAGGACACTTCAAAAAAGTTCACAAGCCAAGAACATATTACTTGTCAGCTTACTATCGACTTTCCCATCGAATCATCAACGAGTGGAGCTCATTACCTCAGCACGTGGTTGAGGCTCCATCCGTCGATTCTTTCAAAAGAAAGTTGGATCAACTGAGAAACCACCATTGCCAGGACTAACACAGGCCATCAGGCCTCCTGTCCTTCCCAAACTGAAACTGGATAAACGACTTCATTTTTGGGGACCTTAAGGTTTCTGGAACTAGCAGCTATCACGTTACAGGACAATCGACTGATTGGTTATAACACAGAATGTAGTGAGATAACACTGCAATTGGCAACGTGATATGAAATTTAATTGACAACGGTAAATACCATGTCTCCTATTTGGTCACCTATTTGTGGTCACATTTATGTATCAAATGGTTGAGATGGTTGTGGACGGAATAGAAGAAGCTTTCACTTAACAGGCTTCCGTGTCTAGTAGCAGTGGATCACCAATACCTCTGGGCAGGAACCTAGGTATTTTAACGATAATGAACGAAAAAAGAGATTGGTAAATCATAGTAGGATATTATCTTTAGTCCTGAAGAATAGGTCAAGTTTCCTCTAAGAGGACTCCTAGGAAGTTGCTTGGACTAGCTCAGTCGGAAGCGAATTCCAGCATTTGAAAACTCTTAATGAGTAGAAGTTGAGTCTACAGTCTACTCTGCTATGTTGTGTCTCCAGTTTCTAAGTGTTACCCCTTAGGTTTGTGTTGGAGCTAAACTGAACTAGGTGTTTAGGGGGATGTCCAGAAGTGTTAAGGATATTGTAAGCCATTAGAACGCCAAATCTAAGACGCCCATATTCTAATAGGTAATGGTTTAGTCATTGGAGGCGCTCTTCATAAGGCTTGAATTTGAGTCCCTGAACTGATTTCGTTGCTCGCCGTTGGATACGCTCAAGAGTGTCCTTATCCTTTCGAGCGAGGGAGGAAATACTATGTTTCCGTACTCTAAATGGAGACGAATGAAAGATTATGTGGGAGGTACTTCCGCCAGACGCGCTTCAATGTTATCAGTACAAGGTTTGCTCGAAAGGCATTTTTGTCGCAGTTAGCTTAAGACTTCAAATCGTAGGGTACCAACACTCCTAAATATTTTTCGACTCAGGGTACTTCTAGAGAGGAGCTGCATAAGCTGTAACTTAAGTCTGCAACTTGTCTCGGATGGACTACTTTACAAACTGAAGTGCTGAAGGTAAGTCCGTTGTCATCTGCCCGACTTTGAAGTCGAGTCAGATCCTCATGAAGTGCCAGTATATCCACTTGGTTGCGTATCTCTCTCTTTAGAGCTTCACATCATCAGCAAAAAGTAATAACTCATACGATACCAGTTGTGGGAGACCGTTTATATAAATCAAGAACAGAAGAGTTCCTAGTACTGAAACCAGGGGGACCACCAGAACATTCCATAGCCTGAGAGAAATTGAAGTTAACCCTGACCTTAAAATGCCGATTTCTTAGATATGAATTGAGTCAATTAATTAGAGGTGATTCGATACCTAATCGTTTGACCCCATCTGAAGCTTTAGAGAAGTCAAGGTAAACGACGTCAACCTTCCCCTTGCGATCAAGGATGGTTGTCCTTCTGTCCGTGGCAGTTGGCAGGTTGGCTATACAAGAATGACCCTTCCTGTACCCATGCTGTTGGGGTGAAAAGAAGTTTAAGGACAGTAAATGGTCGTGTATACCGTGGCATATCAGGGATTCCACAATTTTTGAAGGTATAGAGAGAAGAGCGACTGGTCGGTAGCTTGAAGGTTCGCTGCTTCGACATCCAACTACCGTTTGTCTGTACCATCTGTGACTTCACTTCATACGTAATGCAGTAATGATTTCAGTACTTCTGTGATTCATATTAACACTACCCACGGCGTTCCTTTTGTGTGTGTGTTGTCTACAGATGTCGATTTACGAGGATATTAGTGACGTAATATCCGTTTAGGCCACTTTACATAACGCGTCTGAATTACTCCAAAAACGCTGCTGGATTGATACTTCAATTCACCCCCTCAGAGATAAACGGAAGAGAAGATATCTAGCAATTTAGTGAATTTCACCTGTGATGATTACACATAAAAGAACGTCTGAGCTGCATTTGTTACACAACTGTTGTTATTATTTTTTAGTGAAAAATATATAACTTGGTTTTAAGTCTTATTTTTAAACATTTTTCCTTTTTCCATACTACCATTTAAGTTTTCGTGCATGAACGTTTGCTTCATATAATATTATTTGCTTTGCATTTCATCATATTTTGTTCACGTTATCGTACGGGTCCGTTACAGGGATGAGTGGAAACGCAGTTGATAAGGTGAATAATTATGTCAATAAGCTCGTTATCTAAACAAACAGACAAGTACATGAAAACAGCAGAAAAATGGAAATGACTGGCTGAATTAATACATAAGGGGTTACTAATAACAATAGACAGTTGATTTAGAGCTATAGGCCAGATATATAGACGACGGCAAAATGTATTTCTCCATCAGAGCGTATAACTAGCCGGTGCTCTAGAATAATGATAGTAAACTATAGATATGTATATGGGACCGAGTATTCACCCAAAACTATCCACCGTTAAAGCTGTAGTCAAGTCGTCCGGGGTTAGGTACTAGGTATCGTCAAAGTGCAATGGGGAGAATGTGACTTATTCTGAGTTGTTTTTTGTACGAGACATCAGGAGTATGATTGTAAATGCTTTTATAAAGGCTGTCTGGAGTACTTGGTACGCTATTATGATTATCAGGTGGCCCACTATGACCTGACGAGTACAAGTTCATACGATGAAGTTTGTTTTCATAGGTTTAGTTTGTTAATCGTATGATCTACTTTATTACAGGCCTCTGAAGCTGTGACAAGAGATTCATCATAGTTTTCAGAAGAAAAAGCGCGAAAACTTTACGGCCACTGTACTTGATTCACAAACTAGTTTTAACCCTTCAATGAACTCATTTGACCATCTAATGGGCCAGTCAATACTTTCGGCATCAGCGAATGCAAAGTTAATGTTCTGGTTCTTCTTACACATTCCGCTGAAAACTAGGTGATGGCGTTACAAGTTATTCAGTGTTCTTATAGTTTTTGTGGATGTATTAGGTGTCGAATTAGACTTTTTATGGTTGTTAGCAGACATCTCACTGCTCCATGGTAGCTAAGTTTATGTTAGTGCAGCCTAGGTACTTGGTGAGTCTCATGTTCGAGGGTTTTCCAAGATCAACTTAGACCTGACTTGTATTGCCTTCCTTACTGGGGGCAATCATGAGTCAGTCAATCGTGTCCGTTGGCCCTGCCACTGGTTTGATTTAATCAAATTGCTTCGTTTAATGCACGATTAGGGTTTCACTGAAGATTAAATTAGGGTGATTTAGCCCTTGAAAAGAAATTCTATGTTCTTAAGATGGTTACATAGAGTTATCGACTAACCGAGAACTCGTAATCGGTCTGTGAGGGATAACTTTGAATGCACCAACTGAAGTAGATGAAGGGTAGTTGGCAAACTGCCATCGCTTTATATTCGACCGTAACTTTCTAAGACGTTGATCAAAAAAAAGAACGAACTCAGTATTTCATCTCAATGGCTTCTAACAGCTTCGGCACTATAGTAGTTATATTGAGTGTTGTAGAAGATGTGGTTTCATATCCAGCTCAGTTACTGAAGGTTTACATCATATCAATCTTGCCAATTTTACAGTGTGATTCAAGCCAGCGATTTGTAGAATTATGGCCTACTTCGATATTAATACTGCTCCAAAAATTGTAGATTTGTTAGGATGTAACGGCCTAATCTATATGATCTTACGTGGAAGTCAAATCATTGTCTACCTTGGTTCGTCGCGTTGTAATAATCATCAATACATGATAAAGACCGCATTTAGACTGGAGATAGAACAATATATTTAGTATGGATAAAAACAATGTTACAAAAGTATGGCCACACCTGAAAGGCCAAACCATGCTATCTGATCAGTTCAAACTAATTGAATTCATTCTTCCTGCCCACTCCATCATTGGAATATTCTCCGTGGTAACTGTTGAATTTTCATTTTCCCAGCCGTTTCGTGTTTGGCCTTGAGGATTGTGTAGTTGGGGCCCAATGCCACTACAGATTCATGTCTAAACGTGTGCTCTTCCTATGGATGACAGCGTGATTCTATATTGAATAATTTATAAAAATGATGTAGAACGACAATAAACCCTATAATATCGAGCACATCTATCTTTACGCTTAAGAAATAATATAAAGTTAAGAACGTTTTCAAGAGATATTACTTCTTCAAACGCTCTGTGGTGTTCTACCGAACACTAAGGTTTCTCGTCATATTCGTTCCCCGGAAACGAATTTCATAATGCCGGTGAGACAATCGAGTACTAGAAAGATATCCCTTTTACAAAAATAAGATACAACCATATTCCAAATCTAGGAAGCTTCAGTGCTCAAAATTAAACTTGGATACACTTGTGGACAGTAAATGGGATTTGTCTGCTGGAGAGTCATCCTACAAACTTTTACAACACCTGAAAACATTTCTGGTCATGAATCTTGCAACTCGTGGAGAAATTGTCGACTGCTCCCTAGCTCGGATTGTTTTGGCACCGAAGAACAATATCCGGTCAGTAACCTCTCAGTTCTTTCTTTTTATGCAGAATCGTCGATAATTCACCCTTATTTTAGAATTGAACTAAAAAATCCTAGTGAACACAACCACTTTGATTTTGAACATCAGGCTAGGCAGAAAAATTAGGAATGTTTAAGTGGCAGCCTAAAAGACTCCCCAAGGTAAGATAAAAAGCATAAAAATAGTTGATGATAACAGTCCTAAATACAAATAGTGAACTTTTTCGGTATTCATAAATTTATCTTTGTCACCGTTATAGTAGACCTAACCACAAAACTGTTGACTTGTCATGATGTGACTGCTCAATCTATAAGATCTTACATGTAAGCCACACGACTGTCCGCACTGATCCGTCCAATCGTGACGATTAGCAAAATGATGTCTATCAATTCTCAGGGGCACATTAGGGCCCGGAATAGAGTGATATATTTAATGTGAGTCGGAGTGAGTTTCACAGAATGACCACGCCTCCAAAACCGAACTATGCCGTACCGACTAATTGTCCCCGGGTTCACTACCGTTTCACCTCATCTAAGTGTTAGATGTCGAATATGGATCTTTGCAGTAGTTAAAATGTTTATTTTCAAGAATTGTCTGGTTAGGAACCAATAACAT